ACACCTCGCTAACACCCTGCTAACACCCTTCTAACATCCCCCAACACCTCGCTAACAGCTCGCTAACACCCTGCTAACACCCTTCTAACATCCCCCCATCAAGGTGCATTGTGGGAAATTCTGACTCCACCAGACTGGGCTCTGGAACCTTTTCAATCCAAGGAGCCATTTTTATTTTATAATCCAATATAATCCGTTATTAACGAGATCTCTACCAACGATTATTGAAATAATCATTTTGCCTTTTCAAAATTAAAAAGGAGGAATTCCATTTTAAACTGGCTGCTGAAATCTGCATTTAAAAAAGCCTGATCTCACAGCCAGGAGGTCAAAGGGGCGGAGCTTCATGATCTTTGTTCCATTCAGGCTGACCTGCAGCTCTGAACCTCAACAGACAGCAGAGACAACTTCTCCTCACCTGGTGCTCCTCATCCTTTGCTCCTGCTCCTCCCCCTCCTCCTGATGGTGCTGAAGTTCTGCTCCTCTGTTAACCTGGAAGGAAACGGATGGAATCAGGATCTATAGAACCGCTGATCCATACTGGATCTTCCGGTTCTCCTCAAAGATCAGATCATGTTAGCTCAGAGGGCCCCCGGTTACCCTGGTCCCTGCTACTCAGAGGGCCCCCATTTCACCCTGGTCTCTGCGGCTCAGAGGGCTCCTGGTCACCCTGGTCCCTGCGGCTCACAGGGCTCCGGGTCACCCCGGTCTCTGCGGCTCAGAGGGCTCCTGGTCACCCTGGTCTCTGCGGCTCAGAGGGCTCCTGGTCACCCCGGTCCCCGCAGCTCTGAGGGCCCTGTCCCCCTGGTCCCAGCAGCTCAGAGGGCCCCAAGGCCCCCTGGTCCCCCGGCTCAGAGGGCCCCTGGTCCCCCGGCTCAGAGGGCCCCTGGTCCCCCGGCTCAGAGGGCCCCCGGTCCCTGCTGTCCCTTTAGCTCAGGAATGTCTCAGAGGACAATGGGCCTTTTCTTCCTGCATGTCTGGGGCCCCGCTGGCACTGAGGGGCCCAGCAGGAAGGCAGGCTGCAGACGGATCATGTAACCGACCTGAACCCGACACCAGAAGCAGTTTATATGACCCAGATACACCTGAGCAGGTGGGGGGGGTCAACTCTCCCCCTCCTCTTCTTCCAGCCACCTGCTCTGAGCTGAACCCCCCATCAGAACCAGACCAGGAACCAGGACCAGAACCAGAACCCTGGGTTCCCCCTAATGGGCCAGAACCAC